TTTGGGGTACCTCCATTTATGGAAACCCCCATATCGCACCTGATGCGGAAAAAACAAGAGGCCAATCTCCACAGAACCAGACATCAAGCCTAGGGCCTGGTTTGCGCCACCAACATCTGGTTAGACCAAGCCAGCTTCAAAAACTTCCCCAAATGGCCCTTGCGAATATCTGTAATTCATTCATTCAGTCAGTCCTTCGCAACCTGGGAAACCATATCCCTGTTGGTCAAAAATCACCACATGGAGACTGTCTGTTGAAAGCACCATTTTTTCAATGGGAATTCCAGGATCCCAAAATGGAGGTACTGTACCATATAAGGCCATATTTTGGAGGGATATCCCCTTACATAGCCCTGAAAAATAGGCCTTATATATGGTAGGTACCTCCAATGAATCGGATCCTGAGTCATGGCCATTGATTTTTGTCGCTGAAGGGGCATCCCCAAAAGAATCACTTGCCATGTTTTGCCATGTTTGGCCGGTCTCCGATCCGGTATCCCCTGAGATTGTTTTTCGTTGCCCAGCTTCCACCTGCAAGTGACTTTGCAGCAGACATTGAAAGACTTCGCACGCAGAAAGCGCCTCGAAAACGTTTTTAACTTCGCGAATCGGTTACCCTCTGGTAAACTAACATAGCTATGGAAAATCACCATTTTTCATGGAAAAATCCACTATAAATGGTCATGTTCAATACGAGTAGCTACGTTAAATTACCAGAGGGTACGAGGGTTGCTAAATTATGGTGACTCAGTGACCAAAACCCATAGGGATTCAACCAAAACCAAGCCGCTAAACCAGGGGTGAAACAGTTGCTCCCTCGTAGCTACAAAGTGGGTAATAACTAGGTCCAAGTTTTGGTGTATCCTCAATATTTCTCAATTGGAGTAATGGATTCTATAAAAGTGATGCAGCGATTTTTTCACAGTTACAATTTGAAGTGTAGAAAAACTAATGGTACAAAGTTGGGGATGTAGTTGGGTTGGATGAGGTTTTTTCCTATCTAACATTATCTAACCACCTTTTTTGTAGGGATAATTTTCGATATACTCCAGCAATTTTGACTCTCGGTGCACCTCCGCATCGGTGACGCAGCTGGTGATCAAAATGCGGGCGCCGTTGGGATTGTAGTGCTTTCCTCCAAACGGGGATGGTTCATGGGTCATGACTGATGTCCCCTATGGGTCACATCACCCAACCATGAATGGTATATGGTCTACTAGATGGCTACTATGGTTGGTGATGTCCAATATATCCAAAATGGGACAGTTTCCAACCCCTGTGGTTGACCAAGCCTTATCCAAGAATCATCACAACATATGGCAGTGTGTCAAAACCCTATACCCCTGGTGGACATCAAAATAGCTGGTAAATGGATGTTCATCCCCCTAAAAATGGTATTAATAGGTATTGATCCACTGCCATATCACAACTGGGATGGAAAATGCAGCATACAGAAGAAACATCTTGAAACCATCAACCAGAAACACTGTCAAATGCGTGGGTTGGTTAGCGAACAAAATGGTGGTTTCTTTCCTCGGATGAGATCACCCTCTGGCAATCAAGTCCGCAAGTCAAAATCCCTATTTTGAGGAGGAAAATGATCGGCAACAGGTCTATCTTCCATTGCCAGGTTAGGTACTTTTTGTCGGAAAAAAAAGCGGGAAAGAAAAACATCTTCGCTGCAAGCCTAGCCCAAAAGTTGTGGAAAGGTTGCGTAGTTCCAAATGTCTATGTAGCTAAACATGTATAGGTACGTATATGTACATGATTGTACATATGCATATCCCATTCAAGATGTTGTTCAGAGGGGGTGGCAGATTTGACCTCTCAAGAAAAGTGCTGGGCGAACGCGAACGTCCGGCTTGGTTTTACAACATGTTTTCTCTTGCAAAAAATCAATGGGAATTCCAGGGTCCCAAAATGGAGGTACGTTAGTACCATTTTTCAGGCCATATGAATTGGGGGTATATCCCCTTACATAGCCCTGAAAAATAGGCCAAACATATATGGTACAGTAGGTATCTCCAATTTTTATCGGTTCCTGGGTCATGGCCATTGAAAAAATTGCAGTGTGTCAAAACCTTGTACCCCTTCTGTTCACATCAAAATAGCTGGGATTTATGGATGTTCATCCCCCTAAAAATGGTATTTTCATAGGTATTGATCCATACCCATATTAGTTCGTTGATAGGTTTCCCTACTATGGGTTATCATAATCCCCCGTAAACCAGCTAGTATAATCTCCTATAGCAATCAATAAACCAGGGTAGTTTTTATTGATCCATACCCAAATGACAAAAAGAAAACCAGGTATGGCCCATATGGCCATCCTGCCGGCCACAATCTGTGCCGAGGTGGAAGAGCTCGGTAACTCCACACGGTGCAACAGGTCCACCACCACGGCTTCGCGACGCCAGACCTCAGAATGGGCAGTTTTTTGGGTGCCAAAAACCGTCAAAAACCCATGGGAAAACCGTGGAACACCGTAAGTTGGGATATGGGGGGCCTGAAATTATGGTGAAATATATTCACTTAGGTCACTGGAAGTGGAAGTCGACCCCTCTTTTCATGGTGTTGAAGCTCTGTTTCTGATGCATTTTTCCTAGGCAAATCCACCCATCTGCCTCCAACGACCAACTGAGGCCCGGACTCGCCCGAACCTGGGCATTCGCAGGGGACTCAGCTCCTGTTGCATCCAGCGATACGCCTGATGTACGTCCTGACGAAACACGGACTGGGTAGTGCTTGGAGACATTGAAAAATCAATGGGAAATTCAGGATCCTAAAATGGAGGTACTGTACCATATAAGGCCATATTTTGTGGGGATGTTCCCTTACATAGGCCTGAAAAATAGGCCAAAAATATATGGAATCGGTACCTCCAATGAATCGGATCCTGAGATGGCCAGTGAAAAAATGGAGGAATCATCTGAGATGATGAAAATTCTAGATGAAGATGGGAAATCTTGAGACATGAGGATCATGAGGACAGCTATTTTTTATGATAGAAACTTTGAATGGACATCCCCCTTTTTTCAGCTGGAAATCTTGACATGACAATCATCAACGATGGCTGGGGTAGTTGAGCAGCTACGGCCGCATCCCAGGATGAAAAATCAGGTCATCCTGAGGTTTTTGAAGCCACCAAGCATTGGCCATTTGTCGGGCCATTTGGAAAAGGCCACGCATTGTTTTGGGGGTTCAAGGTGGTGCCCCCTCCAGTTAGAAATTGGTTATAAAGCCATTAACGATAGATATATCACCAACAAAAACCATAGTTTTTGGAGTTATGTTCACCAACTTAGCTATCGTAAACGGGGGCACCACCTTGTTCAATTCAGCTTCAAAGGCGTGGCGAAATCGTGTTTCTTCACACCGGGAATCGTAGCCGGTAAGTCCAACGTTACTGGGATAAGCCACTGGGACAGGCTGGTGGGTGGACCCCTTGAAGAACTGGGAATCCCCGATCGAGGGTTGCTCTAAGGAGCTAACCACCAAAGCCTTGGGCCACACGGAAAAAATGAAAAAATGCTAGCAAATGATCACTGCTTGGAGTACCAACCAAGAATCAATATGAATCAGGCTGTCGGAAAAGCCCATGGACAATCCACATCACATTACCCTCTGGTAAACTAACATAGCGAACTGGAAAATCACCATTTTCAATGGGTAAATCCACTATTTCGACTGGGCCATTTTCAATAGCTTTTTGTATGTTTACCAGAGGGTTGGTGGTTTCCATAACTATAAATCACCATTTTCAATAGTTATGTACCAAATTACCAGAGGGTAGAAACCAAATCAAAATATCAAATTGATCATCAAATCAGAAATCGACCAAATAGATCCAAAGTCAGACGGCCTTGTTTTTTTCGAAAAAACAGCTTTGCTGCCGGTAACTGAAAGCCATGGGGGTACCCCATTTATACGCTGGTTTATAAGGAAAAATCCATCTATAAATGGATGATTGGTTGGTGTATAAGGAAAAATCACCCTATTAAAATGGATGATGACTGGTTACTGTACTCTGGATGAATGGATGACTCGTATTTCAAGGATCACAATACTCTTCAATATTGGGAAAATCCAACAGATTCTCCAACAGATATAAAAATTACACAAATGCCCACGAAAAAATCCACCTATGACTTACCCTCTGGTAAACGTTTACATAACTATGGGCCAAATCACCATTTTTCATGGGAAAATCCACTATAAATGGCCATGTTCAATAGCTATGTTAGTTTACCAGAGGAACTATGGAAAATCACCATTTTTCATGGGAAAAATCCACTATAAATGGCTTTTCCCCATTTGCTGCCTGCAAGGAAATGCCGTAGTTCGCCAGCATCTGCATCTGCTCTGGGTCCCAATAACCGGCCAAGACCTCCCCAGCGCGAAAAAAAAAGCCCGAGAGTTCTACGACGACTCGGAGATTCAACGGGCGATGCATGTGTGTATATATGGATATATATATATATAAGATTTTATTATACTGTTTTAGATTATACTATACTATATGTTATGTTACTATATTATATTATATTATATATTATTTTATATTATTTTATATTATATTATATTATATATTATATTATATATTATACTATATATTATATTATATATTATATTATATATTATATTATATATTATATTATATATTATATTATATATTATATTATATATTATATTATATATTATATTTATAATTATATTAATATATTACTATTAATATTATATTATATATTATATTATATATCTATTATATATCATCATTATATATCAAATATATTATATCTTATATTATATTTTATATTATAAATTTTATATTATATATTATATTATATATATATATATATTATATTATATATTATATTATAATAATATTAATTATATTTAATACTATATATTATACTATATATTTAATTATATATTATACTATATATTATATTATATATTTATATTATATATTATAATTTTATATTATATTTATATTATATATTATATATTTATATTAATATATTATATTATATATTATTTATATATTTATTATATATTATTTATATATTATATTATATCTTATATTATATATATATTATATATTATATTAATATTTATATATATATTATATTATATTATATTATATCTTAATGATTAATATATTATATTATTTATTAATATTATATATTATATTATATATTATATTATATATTATATTATATATTATATTATATATTATATTATATATTATATTATATATTATATTATATTATACTATATCATAGTATATGACATTATATTACAGTATATTATGTTATATCATATTATTCTATATCATATTACATTCTATTATACTATATTATATTATATTATATTATATTATGTTATATCATATTATACTATATCATATTACATTATATTATATTCAACTATATGTATATGTTATTATGTTTATAATGTATGTATATATATATATGTAATGTGTACGTGTTGCAGTTTCATTATATGCATGTACTGTATAGACTGTATTTATATATATATATATATGTGTATGTGTTATTATATAAGTGCGTACCATCTATGAAAGAGTCTAACACTGCATACCTATCAATTCCTTGCAGCCTGCGGGGGTTGTAGTCGATCAATGATAACCAATGGCTGCAATCAACATGTCTTTTTGGTGTGGCCTCCAAGCTTTCGTCCATCGGACGAAATCCATCGCAAAGCAATGGTACGGTGGTGATCTTGCTCTTAAACGCCGTGGCCTCAGAAATTATGCATGGCCCCACTGGTTGGGTCTCACCTGGATGACATGGGTGCTGTCCTTTACAGAGAAACATGGAAATTTCGCCCATCCAAACTTCAACACTTCGGTCCCAGTGCGCAGGGTTTAGAGGTGCCCATTATGAATTTGTCTCGGTCTATAATGGTCTATACCAAGTTCAGCAACTCTGATCCTTGGCTGATTTGTCAGAGACCTGTGACCAAACAAACATCAGAATAGAAACATGAAACCAATTCCCTCAGCATTTTCCAAGAAACCCATCAGAATCTAAAAACCGCCCGCCCCAAAAAATGTTCGCCCCCCAGGCACAATTTCCCCGGCGCACCAGACGCGCTTCAACAGCTCAGGGGTTAGAACCACCACCACCGAACGGCTGGAGGAGCGCACAACGTCAAAGAGAAAGTCCAGATTTTCCAGCTGATCGCAGTCCTCGGGGATGATTTCCTTCAGAAAAAGAAGCGAAACCTTTCTACTGGGTGGTGCTGCAGTTCGTTAGCTAAGTTGGTTTCTAAGTCCAATAACTATATGGCTTATAGGTTTTAAATAACTATATGGTTTTTGTTGGTGATATATCTATAGTTAGTGGGATTATAACACATTTATAACTGGGGGGGCACCACCTTGTAGGGATATACTTATGATAACCCATTAATCATTAATGATTGTGATTTCTGGAATGATTTCCTGGATCATATCACGAATCGTAAGTGGTTTATGTTTAACCTTGGCTAGTCCCCGATTCCCCTTGCTATTCGTGGATTATCCCCTTGATAAATGGGTGAAGTGATATGGGTATGGATCAATACCTATTAATACCATTTTTAGGGGAATGAACACATTTACCAGCTATTTTGATGTTCACCAGGGGTACAAGGTTTTGACACACTGCCATATGAACTAATCCCAGTTACCACGTACGCGGCGTACTCGCCTAAGGGATGATAATCCAAGTGCTTTTTTACCTGGAAACTATGGAAGTTCTTATGAAAAAAAATGGGCTGAAGCTCGGTTTTTGTTGGCTTCCCTTCTACGGCAAGCCGAAGAAAATTGATGCCTTCTCCAAGATTCATCACTGGTTGGTGGTTGACCTACCCCTCTGAAAAATATGAAAGTCAGTTGGGATGATTATTCCAAATATATCGAAAAATGAAAAATGTTCCAAACCACCAACCAGATCATTGGGGGACTGTGGGACTTGGCCGTTGCATGTTGCTACCAGTGCTTTCAAGTCATCCAGATCTGGTCTAGAAACATCCTGGCAGCCCGGCTTGCCACCAAAGGTTCCAAGAAGACTTTGGCCTTGCTATGCCTCAGTTCACAATGCCAATGCAATGGCAGGTTCAACGGATTTCAACTGACATCTAAACACAAAATCAGGATTCTTGTATGCTATTGTCTGTCAATACAGAATATACACAAAATTATGTTCGGCCATTTGGGTATGATTTCCCGTTTTTTAACCATATGATTCCAGGGTTCAACGGCTTCGGGAGAACAGGCTTCGGTCGTTTTTTTCAATTTGCTCAGTAATATGTAACATATCCATATGGGCCCATGGCCGGGTTTCCGGATGATCAAAGGTTGGAGTGGCTGATTTTTTGTCTCCAGCTTTTGGTCAATGAATTCCATGGACTCCCTTGCGACTTTGCAGCTTTTTGTTGCCCATAATTGCCCTAATGTTCCAACACGTATGACCAATCTTCTTATTCCCCAACAGTACTTTTTTGGATCTCAAATAACAAAAAAATCGGAAGGAACTTTGCTTGTTTAGCAAAGGTCTGACCCCTGAACTCACGGCAGAATTCATCCCATGACCCCGTTTGGAAGGGTGAAAACAGAGCTTTCTGGCAACACGTCATGTGATCGGCAAAACCGAGGCAGTGAGCTGGGGGATGTCCCATTTGACCGGTCGTTGCTTGGCAACCCCGTTGGTTAGTATGTCCCTTATATTCCCTTAGACAAACCGAACAATATCATCTCAATGGGTGATATAGCCAATAATATCATATGTATTCATATGTCCCTATTGTAGCTAGTGAAAAATCACTGTTTTGGGGCGGGAATTCACCAGTGTATCCTTGTATCCCAATAAGAATGGTGGGCTTTAGAAACTACCAAACATCATGTCGTTGCTATATCCATTTCTATATCCCATTGATATCCCGTGGATATCCCATTCCATCCAATTACTATGGTTGGTGGGTGGGGGTGGCTCCACATTATGTTGGCTGTAATCAAGTTAATATCCCATTAGATCCCCATTATACATCATTATTCCCCCTATAGTTTTGGCGATTTATCCCATTTTGATTTTTCGTACCCCCCACATTCCTAGGAAATCACTGCTAAACAAATCCGACTTTATCCCTATTCATATGCCTGTAAATCAAGTAATCCCCATTACATTGAAATACCATGAACGTGTCTTCGTAACCTATCGAACTCTACCATAAACCCAACAAAAAAGTCTAGGTGCACCAACTGAGCATAAATCAACCATACATCCCCATTATTTCTTGGTGAAATCAGAATAAAAAATCCCCATCTTTTTCATGATGAAATCGCCATGTCTCCATATGTGAAATCACCATCGTTTTGGTGAAATTTGCCAGGCGCATCAGGTCGCCAGACCCATGAACCACCCGGCCTGGACAAAAAGATCTTCATCAGTCGGCACAGGGAACCAGCTCCAGCCTGCATCAGGATGGCAGGATGTGTAGGATGTTTTTCCATGGCACAGGAAAGGTCGCCCCCCCAAAAAAAAACAAGAAACCATTGGTTGTTGAACCCGCACAACAAAGGATTTAACACATGATTTCACCAATTTAACCAACCAAAATTCTGCTTGAACGATGGATTTATCGTTGATGTACCATGGGTTTCTTTTTTTTCACGAGTTTATCATGGAAATGTCACGCAGAATCAGGATTCAACCAACCCCAAAACTGGGGTCAACCTTGCATAACTGGGGACATCAGGGGGCCTTTCCGAAGCTCAAAACCAGTTCTTATGGATGCGGCAGTCAGTTGATTCTAGGAAATGATCTGGTGATGATTCAGCCGCCAATTTGGGGGTACCGGGTAGCCATGGGTAGCCTATCTTCAGATCATTTCAGATCCATATCTTTGAATTCTTCATTCAGATCCCTTGATATTCCCAGTTCTGTTGTTGATATCCTCCCCGAATGAAACGCTTCCGAAACGAAACGGTGGATGCTATTGGATCATGAAATGAATTGGAGCCGCAAAATTGGAGGATTTTTTGAGGGATACCCATCAAACTAATAGGTAAATCAACTATAAATGGACCATTTTCCATAGCTATGTTAAATTACCAGAGGGTAGATTGCTTCAAATAATGTTACTTGTCTGTAACCATGTCCTTTATCCAAACAAATGGGTTTTCTGGTTCATAACGTCGTTGAGGAAGATTTCCACCCCCTTAAAAGACCTAGAATTGACCGGACATGCCGACAATAGGCGTATTTGATAAATTCAGCAGACAAATGACAAGCTTTGCAATTTGAAAAACCTCGCCAGATCATAGTTTGGGCCCCGTTCCTTCAGTTTTGACAACAAATTGCTAACATCCATTGATGAAAAATTGAAAAGCATGGATGACAACATTTCAGCCAGAGGAATTGTGTGCGAATATGGGTCAGCAACTGCCAAACATGTGAAAGTCCTGTCCAAAACCAGGATTTCCAGCGCGCTGAAGGGCCTTGTGATGACAAAGAAAAATGCCAAAACGTTGCTTGGGTTTCCTGAGCTTTTCGCAGTGGGGATACGGCGGATTGGTCCTGGGACTTTTCATAAACCCACGCGAAAACCATGTCAAAATTCCCTTGAAAAAATGACACTTCAAAATGGCTCTAGGCCCACAATTTCAAACAAAAAAACACGAATCAACCATTCGACTGGGTTTTAGGGGCATCCAAATTTGACCAAGACCTAACTGGATTCAAAGACCTGCTGGAAACCATTTGTTGGTCAGTGGCTGAATCTACGGGTTGAAACACCAAGTTCATAGCTCAACTCTTCAAACGCAAACGGGGCCAGCCCACATTGCATGGGGCAATCCAACCTACCCACATACTTGGGTGGAGGTCGACCATGGCGTGCCGATGGTGCAAGGTATCATTGTCCGCGTCCAGAGCATCATCCTCTGGTCGAATTATATGAAAAGCAACTAACAAACACATCCCGATTTACAACACGCAACGGTCTTTGGAATTTCAAGCACGTCCGATTTTTTTAAACCAAATCTGGCAATGGAATAAAATGCCTGCCCCAGCAGGTAACCTACCAACCATTTTTGGATCGAGTGTGTCAAGATCTTGGTACGGGGGCAGAGCTTTGTTACAGGTTTTGAAGGGAAACTGACATATTAGGGGCCGGGCGTGTGTGTGCGTGCGTAAGTGTGTAGGTGTATATGTGGGTGTGGGTGTAGGCCAAAGGGGTGTCCTTCCTTTTCTTCCCTTCTGTTCATTATTCCCTCTTTCTCCTCCGGTTTCATTTCATCCTGGTTTGAAAAAAGAGACGAAGAGAAACATGGCTATTTTGCTGGGTTCAGGCATCCTGATGAGGAAACCCAGCATCCGAAACAGCAAAGAGACAGAGAGATTTCTTCCTTTTCCATCCTTTTCCTCCTTTTCTTTCCCTGAAAACTCCAGCTATGGAACTCCACAAGATCTGCGATTGGATCAGGATGTTCACATGAGCCGATTGGGGCACATCCAAGGCATCCAAGGTGGCGTGTGGGGGTTGGAAATGTCGACCAGAACCCCAGTCAATCCACAGATAAAAAAAAATGCAATTTTATTGAGCTACTTGTATATGCACATGTACATACAAATGTTCTGTGTATCTATCTTTATTTATATATATATATATTATGTATATATATATAATGTATATATATATATATATGAATACATACAGTAAAAGAAATATAAATGTATATTCTCCTATGCACACATAAACGTATACATATATATTATATATATATAATATGCATACACATGTCTATATGAAGCATTAGCCTTCTCCGAGCATCAACCTTTGTTTCGGCGAAGGAGTTTTGGTTGTGTGGATCACCTGGTGCCATATACCCATGAAAAAAAACGCAAGAACCTACACTTGTTTGCCCACAAATAACCTCAGTTGTAGAAAATGCAACATTCATTCACACTGCGATGGTTGTTGACATGCATCTAGAAAATCGATGAACAAAATATTGAGCAATGCCCATCTCCGTTGGTTGTGCTTGGTAGTACATGAATACATAAACACATCTAAGAGATATACGGAGAAGCATTATTTACATATTTAAAGATACTCTGGCTATATTCATGCACACACGTGTCGTGAAGTTTGCTAGACGACTACAAGCCCATTTGCTGCTTGATGATCGTTGATGACGCCGTTCAATGATCCCCAAACATCAGGGTTGATGCTTCATCCCAGATACCAGGGGTGGCAGGGTGGCAACGGGGTAGACAAATATAAACAGCTAATCAATGGATTTCTTGTACATATTATATATATATACATATTATATATATATATATTATATCAATCATACATACTATATATATATATCTACACACAAGAATTTATAGGCAGAGAGAGAGAGAGAGAGAAAGATCTGAGTGCGTGTGCTGTGCGTGCGTCCGTGCGTGCGTGCGTGCGTAGGTACGTGTGTGGGTGTGTGTGTGTGTGTGTGTGATCCCAAGTGCAACGTGCGGTATTTGTCGTGTCGTGTTCCGCCACATTCCGCCACAAAGTTTCCAGTCAAGCATCAAATGGGACCAAATAGGCATTCCAAGAGCCAAAAAACCAGGCACCACCAGGCCCACCACCGGTACACAAAGCAGCCAGCCTCAGCGAAATTGGATCAATTTTTTACCCTCCGGGAATCATAAATGGGTGATGTTCCATTGCCACATTAGGGTAAGGGCTGCAAATTCACCCTACAATTCCTGGAAAGCACCCATGACTCCGACAGAACAAAGAACATTCGAACCAGCAGGGCGTGTGTGGGATCCTGTCGGCAAAAATCGAGGTTTCACCAATCATTTGCCATGGATTAAATGCTTAAAACCATCACTGGTTGGTTGTTGAGCCCTACCCCTCTGAAAAATGATGGACGAATCGTCAGTTGGGATTTTCTGAAATTCCCAACTGAATGGAAAGTCATAAAATGATATAAAATTCCATGGTTCCAGTCACCAACCAGATCAAATCCCATGTCAAGATCAGATGATCACCATGAAATCTTGGAGGTTTCGACAATCCAATTTCTGACAAACCCAGTTGCCATAGCGAACTGGAAGCCATTGCCCATTTGGAGGTTTCCCAAACTAGGGGTACCCCCAAATCATGCAAAATTAGACCATTTAAGTATTGAAACCTATGGTTTTTGGGGATCCAATATTTTAAGAAGAAACACCTATGTAGTAAATTAGTTGGATGTATTTACCTAGTCAAAATGGTGATGTTCCATGGCTATGTCGATTTACTGGAGGGTAAAGTTTACACTCTGAGCCTCTGGTAATCAAACATAGCTAGCTGTAAAATCATCCATTTATATAGTTCGATGATTTTCTCGGCTAGAAACCTCCATTTGTGAGGGATGTCCCATTGCACTGCTTGATTGTTAGTCTATTCTGCCGTTGGTCAAGAAAACCCTCCCTGACTTGCCAAACTGACTTTCCTTCAAAGGGAAAAACATGTCGTGAGTTCTTACGTGGCCAAGCCATCTCAATCTAAAGAGGTCAGAGGTCTCGGTTTTCATCCCATTTTCCCAAATGGCATTTTTTAAGCTAAAGGTCACCCAGATATGGGTCTGATGGTCTGTCTGAAAATAAAGAACCTCAATTCCATCCCATTTTCCATACGAAACTTGCCAATTTGCAGGAGAAATGTCTCATTTTCCCTCCCACACCTGGGCATGTGGCATTAAATTTGGATCTGCCTCAGGGTGCCATTCAAAAAATATCACAGATTCCAAATAAAGTGGATGAAGGAATGGGAAATTGAAAACTCATCTTCAGCAAATCCATATTCCATGTCTTCGCTGAATTTTGTCCAATATGGTGACCTCATATTACCTGCGAACCAAAAAAAAACTGGATGATCTCACAGTTTTCCATCCTGGTTCTATGTCTTAAGTTTTTTTTGTATATGATGATCATGAATATATGAAACACTTGACCATATGTGAACATAACATGAATATGAAATTGTAAACAGCATTAATGTACAAAACACATGTTATCATAACATTAAGAAATGAATCATTCAGCGATGATTCCCTCATTTTTCGCATCAAGTTACCCAAAGCTTCAGATGATGTGTCGATGTTGATCTCCAGCAGCGGTGCGGCGCCCAATAAGATCACCTTTTTGGGCAAACGTCCAAAAGAATGGCACAGAGTGGGGGATGGTACACATGGCATTGGGTGAATCCCACAGAAAACGATGATAATAAATCATTGTAATCATGGGATAGTCACAATAAATATATGGGATAGTAATAGCACTAGCACCCATGGTGCCCATGGTGATTTGGGATGGTTTAGGCTTTAGGGTTTACGTATATTGACCCAAAAATTAACGTTTATATTACCACCATTGGATCCCACATGGTCCCATGCTTTTACGCCTTACCCGCATCGAAGTCACCAACAGAAAGCCCGTGAGAAGTAGTTCAATGTAGTTGGCTTCTGTGCTTCGCCAGGGATACTTCCGGCTTTGCAACGCCATGGAGATCCTAACCGTGAAGCACCGAAAATGGCGCCGTTGCGCATGCGGGCATGGCGAAAGGAACGTTTGGAAATTTAAAAAGGTGTCCACGTGTCAATGGATTGGTTTGAGGGAAAATCGAAACCGGAAACCATGGTTTTTCCTATGAAATATGATGGTTTCTTGAAAATGTTCCCTGAAACCAATCCATTGAACATTGGATTTGTTGATGGGAAAAATATGGTGGAACCTGAATATGCATGGATTACCCTCTGGTAATCAAATGTGGCAATGGAAAATCACCCATTTATAGAAAATCAATAGCCATTCCAGGATCCTAAATTGGAGGTACCTACCATGTATAAGGCCTATTTTTCAGGCCTAAGTTTCAGGGAATATCCCCCCAATTCATATGGCCCAACATAACCAATGGTACGTCACAACGTACCTCCATGTATTGGATCCGACGAAATTCCCATTGAGAAAATGTTTACCATCTGGCTATTTAACAGTTCGCCATGGAAAATCACCATTTTTGATAGGTCAACCATCTATAAATGGGTCATTTTCCATGGCTATGTTAGTCATAACCAAAGGGTAAATCCATGGTTCGCAGCGAAAAAAATCGCCCTTTTACCGGTGATTTCCAGCAGCAAACCGTGGAACGAAATCTATGCGGCTGCGTCGGCTGCGTCATCCCGCAACTCGATGTGAAACCCCAGTGGATTCGTCCATGTTCTAGCCGATTCTAGCCATAAAACAAGAACATGACCCAACTCAACATTCATTTCCAACGTATTTCTCGTCCCGTTTTTCTTGCCATGTGAGCTACAAACTATAAATCAACACAGGGGTTCCGTTCAAAAATGTCCACATTCTTCGAGGCGCCACAAGCCAAGACACTTGACCGATATCATATCTCTGGACAAGGCAAGATAGTGTTGGTCATACCCTCTGGTAATTTAACATAATTATGGAAAATCACCATTTTTAATGGGAAAATCCACTATAAATGGCCATTTTCAATAGCTATGTTAAATTACCAGAGGGTAGTCATATATGCTAGATTTGTACATAAAATGGCTGGCTAACATGTGTTAACATCCCCAGAAAAATGTTGATCAACTCCCCCAATTCTGGAGAAAGCCGAGCAGAGTTCAAGACCCTCTGTCAATATTCTGGTTAGGAACGGGATTCCCACTTCATATGATGATACCTCCCAATATATTGAATGGTATAACTATATAACCCGTAAAAAATAATGATGAAATCCTCATTTTTACATAGTCAATCATAAACCAACCATAATTTGCCAATGATATCCCCATATTTGTCATTGCTTAAAAGCCATGTAAGATACATGTTTTTGTCTTTATATGTAATCATCCTGAAGTAGATAGAAGAAAGGATTTCCAAACATATTTCCACTTTAGTGAGGACGGCTTGAATTTTCCATATTCTATCTACGCAACTATATATTTATCTTGGTAAATTATAACGACCTCACTGTTCTCCCTCACTGGAATCATGGTTTCTAAGGGAAATCATCTCCAAATGGCCGAACTATTTAGGTTAGTGAAATATTACAATTTACCCAGATTTATACACATGTATATATACATATAAAGGTGATATGAAGGACGGACAAATCTTTATTTTCAATGGCTTCACGCATCTCTCGGCCAAGGCTCAAGAGCACCATTCCCATGAAGGGCACCTGCACCTCTGGTAACTTCACCAAGAGAACGGGCAACAAGGCGATGAGGCCATTGCGGTACAACAAGAAGAGGCCGTAATAGAAACCTGAGTGATACGGTGGGTGGAAGAAATCCTGCACCACCTTGGATGGTTAAACCCTATAAATAATGGGATAAACCACCTATCAACTGGTGCAGGTAAACTCACATAATGACATAGCGACATAGTAAATCACCATTTTTTAGATGGAAAAGCATCGAACTAAATGGGTCGTTTTCCACATCGTTAATTTATTGGAGGCTATGGCGTCAAAATGGGTTATGAACGGGTTATGAATATGGACTAAATATACATACTATATATATATATACTATATATGTTTAGATGAAGTGAAACTGAGTCATCAAAACTAACCCGCTTTGATTGGTTTATTGCAGGGGGTTATACTCACTGTTGATCTTTCAAAAGCTACATTTTCAGGCAGGTAAAGGGAACAGATCCTTTTGGTGCTCAAAATGTAAGAGAACTGACCACAATGAGCCATGGTCAATAGGCCCGAACTCTTTTAGGGGTCAAACCCAAGAATAAACCCAAGAATAAACCATCCCCAGTATGACCAGAAATGGCTTCCGCCAAGGGTAGAGCATGATAGAGCTATATTGGGTCTACCACAGCACGATCCAAGCCATGTCCAGGGGCAGTCCGGTTTGAAGCGATGGAACAGGAAGCGATAGCGATGCACCAGGCGCAGACCCCGGCCACTGGCGATGCGCGAAGGAAAGGTCACCGTGGCGTAGGTCGCCCAGCAGAGCACCAGGAAAGGCTGCAGCAACCCCACCATGGCCAGCACCATGAGCAACACCTTGGATGAATATGGCAAACTGTCTGGGGCCCCCAGTCGAGCTCAGTCGTGTAAAAAGAAACGCCTTATTTCAGTGGCTGAATTAACTATGGTTTATGGTAGATACCCTCTGATAAACTAACATAACTATGGAAAATCACCATTTTCAATGGGAAAATCCACGAACTAAATGGTCATTTTCAATAGCTATGTAACAAATTACCAGAGGGTATAAGGAACTAGTATTCATGGGGGGTTAGCGACCATCCTGTGGCATCTCTTTGGGGAAATTTTTATGGCTCAGGATTCAGGATCCGGAAAACGGGTCGTTTCCTGGACTCATTCGTTGTAGACTGGATGTTGGGAAAATGCGAAAATTAAGTGCCTACATGACCTACATGGTGATATGAGATGTTCTGGAAGCGACATTTTTTCGAAATGCTTTGGGAGGCAGGCCATATCAACTCCGTGAGTTCCTAAAAGGCCCCAAGTGAAAAAAAAAACTGGATCCCAAGAGGAAAACGCTGGATGTGGCCGGGACACGTGCTCATCGGAGTCATAGCAAATAATTCCAGGTTGCGAAACCATCGAAGAGCTGCCATCAGGATTCGGAACACATTGAAACGGCATCAAATTCCTGAGGTGTGCTTCAGTAACAAGTGGCTGTGACATGCTATGACAATGTATGTCTTAAAAAATGGAAAACCCGAAACCCCCATGGTTTGGCATCATGTTTCCAATCTGTTCATGTTCTTCATGGCCACCTGGAACAAAAAAATCAAGTGAGACAAAGCCTGGGATGCTCCTCAAGTTGTGTTGACGTTCAATGTCAACCCCAGTACCCAAGTACTTTAAAAACGTGGCTCTAGCCTTCACAATCTTAAATCGGCTTCATCAAAAGCACTTCCAAACAGGACAGGCTAGAACATAAGCTCACAACAATCCAACATACGAAAATATTTGGGTTAATTGTGGAGGATACCCTCTGGTAGTCAAACATGGCTTGCTGGAAATTACCAATTTTCCTGGATAATTTGCCAATTTAAATGATCATTTAGTTCGGGGATTTTCCAGCCAGCCATGTTTGATTGCGGTGAAATGCTGGTTTATCTTGCCCCTCCTAGCCATGAAAAGTCCATAGAATACTGATTGATAGATATAGATATCCAAAAAAAACAGGTAGCAATCCAATAATCCCCAACTCCCATATTTTTCGTCACCAACTATTGAGTATTATTGAGTAGTATTGCTTCATTATGTAATAATCACCAGCTATACATATTATATATCATATATCATATATCATATATCATATATCATATATCATATATCATATATATATATATATCATCTGCGATTCCCATATATAATCAAATTCCAAGATTGACTAATGGTCCACTAATGGTACACTTACGTATAATAATCCCTAGTT